CCGAATTATTTCCCTCTCTAAATTTTAAAAGAGAAGGAGTCCATTTTTGTTGTTTTCATAGCGGCAAAGTGGTAATCACTGGTGTTATAAACTTGTCACAAATAGATGACGTAGTCTACCCTGTACTCATTGAACTGGAACTCTACACACGTAAGAAAGAGTGAGCGCCAAGAGAAATTAACCATGAACCAGTCTCAAGTGTACCGTAAACTTAACTTTCTTCTCCAGTTAAAAGATGTCACTGTAGCTGTCAGAAAGAATATGATCACTAATATGACAGGGGGTCAAATGAAGGCTATAGCGCAAGTGGCCAAAAGATTGGTAAATGGAACCATTAATCCCCCGAGAAGAGATGTTCAATTACTTGAAAGAAGACGAAATTTGCTACGATCCCTAGCTTCTGAAAATGTGTCACTAACTAGAAAGAAATCGCTGTTAAGACGTCATTACTCGTTTGTACCCGTATTGTTAAGACCATCGTATCTCTTTGACACTATTATGGACGAAATACGAACAACTAGAGAAGCGTAAGAAGACAGTGGTCATATGTATGTGTGAAGGCAAACAAACATGTCAGACTTTTACCTTTATCTCAGTAGTAGAGATTCGCAGGACATACGTAAGAACAATAACCCCGCAGACTTTTATATTCAGTTTCCCAAATCGTACACCATTGATGGACATTGGATTTGCGCTATTACAGAAATTACTCTTACCTGTGACTTTACGCCTAAAAGTAAAAGACTGTATTTATGCTGCAACCTAATACAACAAACTTACGTAAGAAACACGGAAGTACCCGTACTTAGAAATATTGAAGTCGGTTCAAGATACAAGAAACTTCAGTTTTTGGAATATAGCCACCCAGTATACGCACCAGTGACTGTGAATCATTTTAACTCCTTACATTTGTATTTGAGAGACGAAGATTTAAACATAGTTGAGTTCAATTCCAACGATCTTCATTGTGTATTACATTTCAAAAAAGTATGGGCTCCATAGAAGTTTACGATCACAAACAACAAAAATGGGTACCCTATATACCCGACCCTGAGAAATGGTATCAACATTTTAAGGACTTGAGGGACGGGTACGTTAAAGCCGATCATAAAGGCCGATACATCGTAGGTAGCGGAAATCAGATCAGAAAAATGGCTGAAATGAAACAATCACCTCCAGTAAAACTGGTTTCACCCGTAGCACAAGCAATAGAAATAGCAAAGTCAGAGGTCAATCGTAAGAAGGTTGAGGAGGGCAAACAGCGTAAGAAGGGGCCCCAAAAGCGTAAGAAGGCACCGACACCCGCCTACAAATCATCTAAACGAAAGAGACCAAATCCAGAATTTCAATTCTAAACATGGAAGATTTTCATCAGGAAGAACTGTCTTTGTTTGTTACACCCCCTGCAGACACGTCATTACAATCGAGAGAATGGATAACATACCGTCCAGTAAATCAAGTAACAAACGCATCCGCCCTCGAATTTAATATACCGGGTCATACATCGGCGTACTTGGATCTAAAAAGAAGCGTGCTCAACTTAAAGTTACAAATAGTCCACGGGGACGGTAGTGCAGTAGACGCGGGCGAAGTAGTTGGACCCATCAATTTACCATTACACACCATATTCGGTCAAATCGATGTATCTCTTCAACAAACGCCTTTATCTCACACGGGAATCAATTATCCCTACAAAGCGTACATTGACACGATATTACAGTCCAATGAAAATACGCAAATTAACCTACTGACCAGTCAGCTCTTCTATAAAGATACGGGAGACGTTGGTACCATTGATGGTAAAACGGGAAGTAATGGTGGACTATTTTTCAGATACAACCTTACTAAAGGTAGCAAAATTGTAGAAATGGAAGGACCATTACACATTGATTTGTTTCAACAGTCGAAGCTACTGATTAACGGAGTCTCTGTAGGTATAAAACTCCATCCTACCAGAGACCCATTTAGACTAATAACAGACACCGTCAATCCCGATTATCGAGTGAAAATAGTTGACGCTTATTTTAAACTATGTATTCAGCGGCTAGCTAGTAGCGTACTTATAGCGCACGAAAAACTTATTCAAGACACACCAGCCGTATACCCTTACTTACGCACAGAGATCAAAACGACAGCTATTGCTACGGGTCAATTCAGTTACAGCGCGGACGATATCTTTCAAGGATTAGTGCCCAGTAAACTAATTATAGGGCTTGTCCCGAGTGCCGCGTTTAATGGCGATTATACCCAAAATCCGTTCAACTTTAAACATTACAACTGTAGTTTTGTAGGACTTTATGTAGATGGACAGTCTTTACCTTCCCAACCGATGCAACCTAATTATGCCGCGGATCAGTATGTAGAGTGTTACAGAACATTAGCTCTCTACAGAAGCGATGTGAACATCTCCAGACAAGATTATAAGAAGGGGTACTGCCTGTATGCCCTAGATATTGACCCCTACTATTCATTTAACACGAAAAGGAAGGGTCATTGTCGTCTAGAACTCAAGTTTGCAGAGGCTTTACCTGAGAGTGTCACACTGATTATGTATGCCACCTTCCCAGAAGTACTCAATATTGACAAAGCAAGGGCCGTCTACGTGAAATGAATAATTTAGAACTGGAACGTTTACTTGAAGGATACCCAGTCCAGGTATGCGCTGCTAATCAAATACGTAAACAAAGAGGAAAATTCGTAATTGCCAATACAGACACGAGTAATGGACCAGGGAAACATTGGGTTACCTTTTATTTTCCAAGACAAGGACCGTACGAGTTTTTTGATTCTCTCGGAAAAATACCAAGTGACTACAATGTGGGCTTTGAAACTGTATTGACGAACAAGTTTTGGATGGTGTGTGATCCTATTCAGGACACTAATTCAGATACCTGTGGACTGTATTGTGTATATTATATCATAAACAGATGTACAGGAAGGACTATAAAAGACATTGTCAAACCTTTTAATGTGTATAATAGACAATGGAATGATATATATGTTAGAAATATTGTAAATAAAAACAAACACTGAAATGTATTTATATGTATTTTATTTTGTATGTATCAATAAATATAAAAAGAGAAGAACATTGTCTTTGTTGTTTCTTTAATAAATCCAGTTTATAGTTTTGTCAATTGTTTTAAGAGTCCTTTTGGGTTTCTTCACACTTTTTGTTTTCTTCTCACGTTCCCCAGGTGGCGGAAAAGACACTTTAGGTGGGATAGTCTGGTCATCTTTTACTTCTCCAAACCCTTTGTAACTAGGCTGCAGTATGCGCTGGTACTTTTCGTAAGGAACCAGAATGAACTTTTCCATTATTGTAGTACAGGTTCCAAATACGCTAAGGCAATTTTCACCAAAATATATATTGTTCTCAGGTTGCCTGGAATAGCTTCTTTTTTCTTTTGAAATCCAATTTTTTTGTTTCCCAGCAAGTAGATAAAACGTCTATGTCGTTTAAAAAGTGATTTTTCAGTTGACGTCAATTTTATCGTGAATCGCAGAATGTTGTAGGCGATTTGAGCTAGCACTTTCAGCTGTTTTTTCGTGACTGTTCTTAACAATGCTTTCCTTTGGGTCACTGTAGTGTCCACTAGTAAATTCAAAAAATGGCGTTGCTGTTTGATGAGTTCGACCATAATTACTCTTACAAGTTTCGTACTGCTTCTTACGTTAATTTGTAGACTATAGGGTCCTCCCTCGGAAAAATTTGAGTTCGTAATCGATATTTATCCTCAGCATGTGGGCTCATGTCTACCAAAAAGTAGCCGTGTTTTGTGCTTAGGGCGTCTTTATAGGCTTTTACAAATCCTTTACTTTTACCGGGATACAACTGCCGTCCCAATATTCCCACCTGAGAGACATCTCTTAAATTTTTCATCAACACCATATACCATGTATTTAAGGCAATTGTTCTGGCATGTTTACCTCCTGGATACAAGTTTTGCGTGATAAGTATGACAGACACTCTTCTGTGATGACATCCTTGCGTGAAAAGAAGCTCCATATCTTTGTTTTTCATAACTTCGTGCATAAGATCGTCAACGATAATCAGTTTATGTCTCTTGTCTTGGGTAAAATGATCCAGTTCCTCCACTGTTGGAAGCCCTTGTTTACTATAAAAGTTTGGAATGGATCTTTCCATCTCATCAAATAAATCCTGATGAATTCCATAAGAATATAAGATGTGTGTTGGTGGGTCTGTAGAATACATATCCTTCACGTTTTGCAAAAATTTGTACACCCATTGCGTTTTTCCGCTTCCTGTTTGACCACTTATACATATACTGGAGCATGGTTCGAACGGTAGGGATGACTTCATTATTTCTTTAGCTTTGGACTGGGTAAGGCGTATCCAATACAGCTACTTAATAGACTGATCCACAATTCGCTAGCACCGTTTTGAAGAGATAAGTTAATGATAGAGGTAATGATAATAATGTAGACAATGATCATTTGGCAAAAATAGACAATTTCAGCCTGGGGTACTCGTGCTCCTAATAAATGCCAACGGTCACTAGTGGACCTGCTTTCGTCTTCGTTAGAGTGTGGAAAACGTATAAAAGTTTCCCTCTCTGGTGTGTGAGTGTCTGTAGGATTCATATTCTTACGTTTTATATCGAAAATAAAATACAAAGACATTATATTCTTACATACTTTTATTCAATTATATACATTTTTCAAACCACACGTGACAAAAACAGAAATGGTAATGACAAAAATTGAAAAACAAAAACATAAATAGAAACGCTAGTGACAAAAACTGAAACGCTAGTGACAAAAACTGAAACGCTAGTGACAAAAACTGAAACGCTAGTGACAAAAACTGAAACGCACCCTATGGAAATTTACATGTAAACGTGCAAAAACTGAAACGCTAGTGACAAAAACTGAAACGCTAGTGACAAAAACTTAAACGCTAGTGACAAAAACTGCAACATACTTGACAAAAATAGAAATGCTAATTACAAATGCAACATCTTTTACATTTATTTTATCTAATATCCGTATGGTACAGTATCAAATTGTTCAATTCTTCTACGTTTGGTATACACCATCTGGTAACTTTTCTTTTCTTCTCTATTATACAATTTTCTTTTTCTTTTATCTCTACAAATTTTACTAGGGTTGGTTACAATTATACTTTTATCACTTTCTCCATCTGTAACTATTTCTTTCACACTTTCAAAGTTGATAAGTTGGCTATTTTTATAATTTAATGTAAAACCCCTAACTTTACAAGTTTCGTTGTTTTTATTAGTTCTATAAGCATAATTTTTAGGACCACCCGACACAAATTCTACAATATGCTCCCCTCCACTCAGCTCATCCGTGAGTTCACCCAAGTAATCTCCTAATGGCGGATCATACTGTCCAGGGCGACTCACATAAATGACGCTGTCCGTATCGTAATACAACACTCGTCTATCGAGCTTTTCGAGCACACTGTAGAGTTTGAGTCTTGCCCAGCATGTAGTAAATGTAGCTAAGTATATGTTCGTTTTATTATCTTCGGGTTGGCAGTCTTGTTTATATTGCCATTCTATTTGAATCATATCATTCGTCAGTATGTGAAAATTCAGAGGTTCTTTCGTCGGATCGGCAAACAACTGAAAGAACAGGTTGGCCTGTAGTTCGTGAAAGAACTCTGTCTGGCGCATATTGAGTCTCTGACCAAACTTGCCCCAAAAACTATTGAGACATAATTTAGCCAGAGCTCTCAAACCCGGGTTCTTCGAGATGTTTGCCCGATCCAATGAAACTCCCTCTTTCTGTAAGTATTGAGACACATAATTTGTCATGTCTTGCTCATTGTGTATCCAGTCAGGAGAACCGCTTGCCTCTTGCTTAAACTTTAAAAATGTGTTTATGTAATTGGCAAACAGTCCCCCTGATCTGGTTTTTGGGTCATATTGTGTGGATTCCTCCCAGTGGTATACTTCGTAAATCTTTTTAATTCGATATCCTAATTTAACGGCCGTTTGAATCTCCGGAGTACACCACGTACCAGTCAACTCTCTTTCTTGTTCTGAACATGCGCATGGGTTTTGATTTTCAGTATCGGCGCAGGCCCTACATAGAGGAAATTTCAACTTGTTATTTGAGCGATACGGTAGCACGGGATGGTATAATCCTCTAGGTGGTAGTATTTTAACCTTAGCTATACCGAAATAGCTCTTGATATCTTTAAAATCTTTGGTTATGATGGTGGGGTGACCTACGGGATATTGACAATACTTATTTACCCATGGATACAAGCTCGTGAAATCCACGTACTTGATATTTTCATGTTCGTCTGTTTTGTAATAAAGTTGACTGGCATTGGTGCGACCCCCGAAGAAACTTTCCCTCGGGTCTAACCTATCAATTATATCTAAGCTTTCTACGAATTGTTTCAGTTCAGTATTTTGAATCTTTTGTTTTTTGAATTCGTGGTCCCAAATGCAAACGTATTTCATGCCTAACTGTTGAATGTAAGCTTTCTTTTTCATTGTTAACGCATACAATTCATCTAATGATTGGTTGGTGAGTGGGTGGCGCGTTTCTTCTCGGTTATCTGTGAAACAATCAAGGCAACCATGAAAAATACAACCATGGTACTCATAGGCCGTGTTTGTTTCTTCACAGTAACCGTCTAATTTGTAACGTGTTCCCGGTAAAGATTTCTCTCCCTTATTTAAAGCATGCTGAATTTTGACGTTTTCTGTACACGCCACCCATTCTAACCATTGTATGGACGCTTCGCTATATTGATCATTATAACCACTAGGAGGAATTTTCGCTATGGGTGTCCTTACAAATTCTGTCTCAGTTACTTTCTTACCCGTGAGTTTGGTTTCGAGGATCCATTCGTTTCCGCGCAACACATAAAGCTTTCCGTCTATTAATTTTGAAGGTATCCAATCATCACTGCCCTCTAATTTTACTTTCCATTCTTCTTCTAAAAATTTTGTTCTAAAGACATTCATGCAAACGGAAGCTATGGTCACGGAATCGAATGGATCCACGGCTCCGACCCACGTTTTTTCTTTCTTTCCTTTTTCGTTCACCTTCTCTATTCTTTCGCCCGTAGCACTCATTAACAACTCTCTAAATTTCAAACACGCTTGTCTTAAAATTTGTACATCACTCCTACAATAATCTAATATTTCTTTTCTAAAGTCAAACACGTCGTCCTTTCTCTCACTCAACCACACTAACAATTCAGCTCTCTCTTTCTCACTCATAAAATCATGACCATAACACTGAGCATCTGGGTACGGGCCTACATAATTCTGATTCTCGCTAGTATTAAAGTAATGGGGAAACCAACCTTTCTTTAATTCAGTCAATCCAAAAGCTTTAGGGAGGGCGGACAATTTCATGGGTAAAAAATTCAAACTGTCAATCACTTTGATATGTAAATCTGACTCTATTGTCATATACATAATTTTGGAGCCACTGTAAATAATCTTGTCCGGTCTCATGGATTGGTCTATTAAGTACTCTAACAGAAAATAACCGTCGTAACCTTTCATATTATGAGCAAATACTTTGAAATATTCGTGCTGGGAGGAAAATAACCATTCGCCAAATTTTTCTGCAGTGTCGGCTCCTTCGAACGTGACTTCTCTGAATCCACATTTACCCGGACACGGTCCTGGGTCTTCATTATCATGTAGCTCAGAGTTGTCACATTCGTCGCACCGTGAACCACATTTTTTACATATTGATTCGGGGGTCAATGGTTTATCGATACATTTTGGACACACAGTATGTGCTACTACAAAATTGGGACGGTGGGTGGCTTTTCCGCACCAAGATGATTTACAATGTTGACATTTAAAGCAAGATTTACATACCTCTTGTGATTGACAGTCTTTACAATCTCGTTTTCTACTCGCTACATATCCATTTTCACACTCTGACACTTTATCTTGACTACATTCAAAATCAAAAAATATAAATTTAGAATTATAATGTTCCTTGGCTGGTGTGGCTCTCAAATAACATAAATGTCCTTCCATTACATATTGTTCGCATGACGTACACAGGTATTCTCCACACTCATGGTCTTCATTCTTCCTTTTATCGGTTCTTAATACTTTATAACAGGTAGGGCATTTCCAATATTTTTGACACTGTGATAGTCCGCTGGGTTTTCCTTTACATTTTCCTTTTCTATGTACTGGTACTGTTTTATGTTGTTTAAAACATTTGTCTGATCTGCAGGTCATGTTACAGTCTGTGCACTTGACTGTGTTGTCTGTTTCTGGGCAGTTGTCCGTCTTACAAACAATACATGAGGTCTCACACTGGTGCCGTTCTCTGTTGTTGTAGTGTTTGAGGCATTGGTCGCAGAAATACATTGCGCTGAAGAAGCCAGTTATGCTGGTAATGGCGTGAAAGTGGTCGTCGTCCACAAGGTACAGGTAAATACATGGACGCTCGTCCTGACTAGGGCTGGTAATAAACTTGTTGCCTAGTCTTGCACTTACCACCATCACGCGCACTCCCAACACTTTTTCAAACGCCTCTATGTCATTTAAACTGGCGGGACGATCTAAAGGTACTCCGGCTAATTGGCTGATGGCTACCGCTAATTGTCTCTGTTCATCTCTTTTCTTTTCTCTGAGCTTCTTGTAGTAACTTTCTGGCACTTTATGGTTTTCTAGTAAAAGTTGTAAATTTGATTTCTTTTGGCGTTTTTCAACAATGTCTTTCCATTCTTCCGGTGTACATCTATTAAGTTTCGCCCAACTCACCCCGATTGCCCTCGCCATACACATTTGGTCATCATTTTCGATGGTCACTATTGAGGTTTTCAACTTTAATGAATTATTTTTTCCTTTTAGTTTTGTAATTCTTCGCCTTGCTCCTCCTTTAGGTAATTCGATGGAGCCTATGGAAATGTAAAAGCTTTCATCAATGGATAAGTTTTTGTTGCTGTTCAGAACCTTTTCAATATTTTCCATCACTTTATCGGAGGTCAACTGGTCCCAGGGCTGAAGAGGAACTATGATGGGGTCGTGTAATCCTTGATGATGAATAACGACACGACCCAAGTCATTTCCCGCTAAATTGCCCCGGGCCTGATCCAGTACGTCTTCAAACATAGTGAAGTCCACCTCTTACATCTTGCACTCTCTGTCCATTATACTGTTCATCAATTTTAATCTCATATGTACGATCCACTGCCGCTTTTTTTGCATACGTCCTTTCTGATTTTTTTCTTATCGTATACTGAAGCTCCCGTAGGGCGTCGGTCCTATAAGAGGGTCCCGCTTGAGGCTCATCCCCACTCCCTACTTGTAGTCCTGGTAACTGAGGGCTCCACTCTCCGTCTTTTACACAAGCAGTTGCCATCTCATCCATTTCTTCGTCAAATAATAGTGCTCTTACTGCACCCTCGATTTCCTCTTGCTCTCTTACATACTCTAGCGCCAAATCTAAATCTTCCAGGTTAACGTCGTCTTGGTTCTGCATTGTGTCGTCTAAACTGTCAAGTAATCTTTCCATTTGTTCATTTACAAAGTCATCATCGTACTGGGGGTTCCTTAACTGAAATAGTCGGAACCGCACCCCGGGAGAATCCTGTATACCCCACGTCGCCGCAAAATTCATCAGCTCATCTGCGTCGGTAAACGTATTCACGATAATATCAAAGTGTTCCATATTACTGGTATGAATTCTAAAGTTAAAATAACGAAGTGGGCTCATGCGCGTTCTTATATACTCTCCACTGAGCGAACGTCGTCTATTTTTAGTAAGAACGTCATCGTTCTCCATTTTAATTGGCTAATTCGCTCTTATGTAAATAGAAGTTTGACGTAGTGGCACTTTAAGGGGATTAACTTTGACATTTCAATAGGCCATTGTTAGTGTATCCGTCCCTAAATAAACACGCGCCAGACATTGCGGCGACTTTAAGGGGATTAACTTTGACAGTTGAATAGGCTATTGTTAAACCATCTGGTCTTAAATAAATAGACGCTCGACTATGTGACTACGATCACGTTTGATTCACTCGTGATCAGATCTAAAAATAACTAAAAAGGTCATAGACCCAAGCATTTAGGAATAATACACTAATGCTTTGTGTCATTTGGTTTCGGGCTGTCGAGGAGTAAAGAAGTAATTCTTTTATTAAATAAAGCAATACCGGTTAAAGTAGTCATAACATAATAGTCACACGATGAACAAGTTACAAAAAAGTGCATTTTCATTTAAACTTTTAAAAGGAAAAGTAAAATTGGTAAGTGTCCATTTAAATAAACTTATCTACATAATGTTTTATTTTAATGTTTATTCATTTAAATTTATAACACAGAGTACAAAAATATAAAGGTGATTTTTTATAAAAAAAAAAACAAAAAAACTAGAAATGTGTCCATAGGACACGGATGCCCCCCAAACGCCACTGTTCTGTCAATCTTATGACTCTAGGTCAAATATTTTTCGGACTACATGTGCCACAAGTTGAAAACTAAAAATCGACAAAGGGCCATAATTCTGTTAAATTTGGTCGCAGCAAAAATTCCTTCCTTTACTACCATCTACACATAAAGGTTGTTAATCCTTGGAAGTTTAAGCAAAATCTGCCATCCGGTTTAAGAGGAGTTGCATTCACAAAATTTCTACATAGTATATAGTGAAAAAATCAACAAAGGGCCATAATTCTGTTAAATTTGGTTGCAGCAAAAATTCCTTCCTTTACTACCATCTACACCTAAAGGTTGTTAATCCTTGGAAGTTTAAGCAAAATCTGCCATCCGGTTTAAGAGGAGTTGCATTCACAAAATTTCTACATAGTATATAGTGAAAAAATCAACAAAGGGCCATAATTCTCTTAAATTTGGTTGCAGCAAAAATTCCTTCCTTTACTACCATCTACACATTAAGGTTGTTCATCTCTGTAAGTTTAAGCAAAATCTGCCATCAGGTTTAAGAGGAGTTGCGTTCACAAAATTTCTACATAGTATCTAGTGAAAAAATCAACAAAGGGCCATAATTCTGTTAAATTTAGTCGCAGCGAAAATTCCTTCCTTTACTACCATCTACACATTAAGGTTGTTCATCCCTGTAAGTTTAAGCAAAATCTGCCATCCGGTTTAAGAGGAGTTGCGTTCACAAGATTTCGGGACGTACGGACGGACGGACTGACAAGTGCAACGCTATATGCTCCCACATTGTGGGGGCATAAAAAAATTCTGAAGAGAAAAAAAATTAGATTTTATTCATAAATGATTTTACTTCCAGCTTGAGATTACAAGCTTATAGCATTTGTCAAGACCTTTCGCTCAATACCAAACACGGTTAGCTTAGGTCCAGTAATGAAGGTGTAAATCAATATTTTACGCATAAGTGATTTCACTTCAGGTTTGTTTATTCCAGCTTGTAGCATTTGTCAAGACCTTTCGTTTGATATGCAACATGCCAATGTTATGTCCAAAAATAAGCAGATATTCGTCATTTTACGCATGAGTGATTTTGTCAGCCATATTCAAACTCTCCTTTCTCAAAAACAGTCAAAGGTAGATCCATATAATAATACATTTTCTGTATCTACTCGCAAAGATCTTTCAAATGGCATATAAATCTAAGGCTTTTATGAACTTTGAAAAAATGGTTAAAAAACCACTAAAGGGCAATTACTCGAGAACGGCTAAAAATCAAAACGAGAACCTAGGGTTTAAATTGAAGCACTTTGATAGATCTATCATTTGATGCGAAAAAATCAAAATGTATATCGTAAAATGTTGCACAAAAGACGAAAAACGCTTTTTCTGTTGTATTTTTGTTCGGTTTTAGTTAACATTAATTATAGTTGTTTTTTTATAATTTTGCACATTCGTGATGATCAGTTTTCAAACATGTTGGCATTCTTTTCGAAAATGAGTTTAAAATTATGCCCCAGTGGTAAACTGACACTTCAATAACTTATTGCTTACCCGCTTTTACTTTAGACGGGTAAACTTTGACAGTTAAATGGAGCATTGTCCGCATTTCCGTCCCTAAATAAACACACGCCAGACATTGTGGCGACTTTAAGGGGATTAACTTTAACTTTTCAATAGGCCATTGTTAGTGTTTCCGTCCCTAAATAAACACACGCCATACATTGTGGCGACTTTACACTCGTGATCAGAGCATTTAGAAATAATACACTGATGATTTGTGTCATTTGGATTAGGACAGCCAAGGAGTCAACATCGTATGTATGTATTTTACGCAGATATTTATTAAATTATTTTACAGTAAATGTCCATATTATTATTTTATATAGAAACATTATTTGACAGAGTCATAATATCGAATTAAATTGAAAATAAATTTCATATATTTTGTTATATGTTAAAAATTTATAAAGAATCAAATTTAAAGTAATAAATTAATTGTCTTGTTTATAGTATTATAGAGAGTCAATTAGTCAGTCAGTTTTCAATTATATCTTATTACTAATGTATTTTCTTTAATTTGGAATGTTTATAGAAAAACACATTAAAAATAATATATTAATATTTAGTCAGTTTTTAATACTAATTAGAAATATAATCAAACCGTTTGCATTTTTTAAGAGACTACTTTATTCGAACAATGATTTTATTAATTGATATGTGTAGTTAAGCACGTATTTATACAAAGGTTATCTGTAGTTATAATAATGGTGATTATCTCCACGTCTAGGGCCGAGGACCTGACCTTCAATGTCCGCGATACAAGCCCTAAGATCGTGTATACAAGTCAGCTCCGTATACTTCCGGGAGATTAAAAATGAATTTCTAAATATAGAACGATGATGTCATTCTAAATAAGGAATCCAATATGGCGCCGCGCATGCGCAGTCTTGGGGCTAAAGAGGCCCCTATACTACTAACTGGTTCCATTCTGGTAGTTCATCATGTATTACTTGAACTTATTATCTTAAACCAAAATTTTACAATTCGGACATATCTGTTTATATACAACCATAGGTGTTCGGCGCGTTGATTGGTCACTACCCCCGGGCCACCCCCCCCCCTCACCCACTCTACAACCCTCCTACCTCTCAAAACCATGTAAACTGGAGTATTTTTCATTTTAAACATGTTTAATATTTGGAACATGCTTTTAATTCAATTACTTTCATCTCCAACAAAAAATATAAAAAAAATGATATAATATATATTTACTAAATATATATTATATCATTTTTTTATTTAGTTACCTATTATTCTTAATAATTTACCATTCAAACCAGCATAATACATCTTAAACCAAAGTGCATTACTGTATATAGAATCAAAACAGCGTTTTAAATCAATAAAAGCACAATACAATCTTTTATTCTGGTTCAAATAGTTTTCAATTATAGAATGCAATATAAAAACAGCTTCTGTAGTCGAACTACCTTTTTTAAAACCAAACTGCGCATCAGAGATAATATTATTTTCATCACTGGGCACCGCGGCAGCGAGTATTTGTGGGTGTGACTAATCAGTGATGTAAAACTGTCTGTTATAAACCCTGAACTATAAATAGCATGCAGTGTTAACCTGCAGAGAGAATGTAAACAAAAACAGCTGATTTTACACAGGAGAGATTAATTAAAGACATTCTCAAGTCATCTTGTCCAGATATTATTTTTGAAGTCAGTTGTTTTTCTTTGTTTTTCACTGGAATGCTGTATGTGTCCTTCATCAAGTCAGACAATTATATCAAAATCCAAAAGATGTGCCATGGGGCATTTCTTTTAGGAACAACCTGCTAAAAATGTTCTTGACAGAAATTTAAAATATTTTTAAACTGTTAATGTATAAAATTTTTATGCATATGCAACATTTAGTTTGATTAACATTTGTGAAATGTAATTTTTGACTACAAGATATTTACAACAAAATATAGTGTAAATGAAATATACCTGGAAGTTACTTTTACTGTTTTCATGAAGTTTAAACCATTCAAATACAAGTTAATTTGAAATTTAAAAAAAATC